AGTCAAGTAAACCAGAACTGGCTCTTTCTTGGAAGGTCAACCAAGAGTTGGTTTCAAAGGGGCAGGTAAGACCAGCCACAATGGCTCACATCTGTAATCCCAACACTTTAGGGGGCCAAGGTGAGAGGATCACTTAGGGGGCCAAGGTGAGAGGGGGCCAGGAGTTCGATACCAGTCTGGGCAACATAGGGTGACCCCATCTCTCCAGAAAGAATACTTTAAAAATTAGCCAAGCATGGTGGCTTACGCCTGTAGTCCCAGCTACTTGGAAGGCTGAGGTGGGAGGATCGTTTGAGACTGGGAGGTCAAGGCTGCAGTGAGCCCTGATCATGCCACTGCATTCCAGCCTGGGTGACAGAGCGAGACACTGTCTCAATAAAAAACAAAAACAAAAACAAAAAAAGAGGCAGGTGGTGTCAATTCACAAGCCACATGGCTGGAAATCTTTATTAGTACCAGCAGCAAAAGATCCAAATCTGAAGAATGGACCATCAAACAAGAAGAAACCAAGGAGATCAGTGGTGAATGACAATAAATAACTTCTCTACTTCCCTGTTCAACCCAGGTTATTCACTATTTACTAAGTACCTACCATGGGCATGGCACCGTGCTACTGCCAGAAATAAAAATAAGAATGAGACAATGACCCTGCCTCATAAAAAGCTCTCATTCTCCTGAGTGGAGTTTAAGGGTCTCTCCTTTCATTCAAAAGGGGAAAAAAAAACAAAAACACATTCACATATTTATTAGTGTATGCATACATTTATCCAGCAGAAAACACAAGCAACTAATAATATGCAGTACCTCCAGGGAAGAAACTGGGAGGCTAAGAGATAGAGGTGGAAGAGGTATTAATATTTATCACTATATACCTATTTACACGTTTTGAATTTGAACTCCATGAATATATTATCTATTTAAAAGATAAAAATTTATACTAAAAAAATAAGTTTCTCCTCTTTTACTGGGATAAAAATTTTCTGAATATAGACAGATCTAGTAGAGAAAATGTACAGTAATGTGCCACATAATGACATTTTGGTCAACAACAGATCACATCTACGACGGCGCTCCCATAAGATTATAATGGAGCAGCCCTATACAGGTATACTATTATCTTTTTTTTTTTTTAGCAATAAAAAAATTCCCAAACTACCATTTTTTATCCTTTATATATATTTTGTCTTTTGTCACCTTTTTCCTGCAGTATTTTGATACTGTACTTTTACTATACCTTTTCTATATTTAGGTATGTTTAGATACCCAAATACTTACCATTGTGTTACAGCTGCCTATAATAGTACAGTAATACGCTAACACCATGTACTACATGGTGTAGTCAAGAGGCTATATCATATAGCCTAGGCATACAGCAGGCTACACAATCTAGGTTTGTGTAACTATACTCTATGATGTTTGCACAATGATGAAGTCACCTAACAACACAACACATTTAATGTATCCCTGACATTAAGCATCACATGTCTATATTTCAGAGAGGTCCCTAATATCTCAGTATATGCACTCACATAACAGCTAAGGAAGGGAAAAGGGAACTTTTTAGAACACATGAAACTAGTTTAAAGACTTGACATAAGCCAGGTGTGGTGGCGCACGCCTGTAGTCCCAGCTACTCGGGAGGCTGAGGCAGGAGAATCACTTGAACACGGGAGGCGGAGGTTGCAGTGAGCCGAGACCGCGCAATTGCACTCCAGCCTGGGCAACAGAGTGAGACTCCGTCTCAAAAGAAAAAAAAAGACTCAACATACATTATTTCATTTAATCTTCACAACTATTTACAAGACATTATCATGTTTCATTTCTTTCCACTTATTTTTTTTAGAGACAGGGCCTCA